ACATGCGTGGCGAACGAGTCCTTTGGCGTGGGCTTGATACACGTTGTCAGTCTCCTAGACGAGCCACCGGTCGGTGCTTCAGATAGGCCTAATGGTTAACGAGCGCTCGTTCGTTGAGACAGATCGTCGACCTTCGATCGCCGACCGTCTCGATTCCGCTGATTCTTTTTGCGAACCTCGCCCTCTCGCGGGAAGATACGCTCCGATGGTCTCAGCTTCACTACCTCGTAGCCTATATAGATACCAACCATCGGCTTCCCTTCGGTAGCCCGTCTGGTTTTTTGGTAGCAGTTCGCCAGAGTCCTACCGCCACCGCGGCGAGCCTGTCTGCCCTAAGGCCGCTCTTCCTTTCCGAAGCAGGAACGCCGGATGGACAGCTAATAGCGATGGGCGCGAGTCACGTTCACATTTATGACACATTTCAATTACATTGATTTTTACATATCTTCTCATGTAGATTATATTGTTGAATTTCATTTTTTTTTATTTATAATATAATTTTTTTTAGATTATATAACTCTCAATATCTCGTTTAATGACGAATAGTCATTTAGGCAAATGAAAATGATTCATCGAATATCAAACCATATTAAAAATTTGATTACATCAACCGAACGATTACGAAATACAAACTTCTTGGTAATCAGTTTTTTTTAACGATGAAACAAATGATGCGAAACCTTTATAAAAAATTTCAAAATAAAATTTATTTTTGAATGACATTTTTGATTTACACTTATATCATGAAATAGTCAAGAAAAATGTTATAATAACAAAATAAATATCAAAAATATATATTTTCGGAGAAAATATTCTCGTGCGTATCTAGTTGGTATTTAAGAAATAACGAATATGATATCTCGCGCGTTATTCATACCCATCACTGCTGTGGCGGCCAGTATATGGGCAGATCGTACGGGAGAGAAAGATCAAGCGCTCCACCCACGCCCACGTCTCAACCTGTTCTGTTTCTCCCATCGAGCCACGGTTACAGGTGCCTGCCTGAGGGCATTCCTGCTGGAATTCTTCACCGATGATCCTCGCTCCGTTTTCTTGCAAACTCATATCCTCGACTCATCACATGTGTACCGAATCGTAGATACCAACATCTTTTCTGCAATCTCTCGATGCGAATATTTTGCCTATATTCGAATTTGCAGCATATCTTCCTCTCTTTATAAAGGAAAATTGTTGAATTTTATTGAATTTATTTTTCTGCATATTTTTAAGAAAGAATCAACGCTTTCTTATATTTGCGTATTTCAAAACTTTCCTCTCATTAAACATGAGAACTTTCCATCTAACTTTTTGAATATTATATCGAATAAATTATTTTGATAATTTTATTAGCTCAGGATAATAATTTCATTAAAAGTGAGACTAAGAATAAAAAGAAATAATGAAATATCGGTGGAATCTCTACAAGGGTACTCTTCAGTTTTGATTCCTCGGTCCTCTATCCGAAGGGAGAGAGGAAAAAATCAAAGCGATGGGAAGGTAGCGAGTAAGTACGCCCACACCGTCCTCTTTGGGGGACCTGTTCTTGACATTTACGTTCTGATATCTTTTCATTCCGTTTACGAGTCCCCTTTACGTTTTACGACCGATCATCGAGGCCCTTTCTCTCTGCGAATGAAGGCGGAGAAGGGTAGGGCATATGGCGGCGCCGAGGAGAATAAAAGAATGACCACTGTGGCGAAGAAGAAAGGACCGAAGTATCCTGAGAACCATCAAATAGGATTCACTGCGGATCTTCTCTGATTGAAACAACGTATATTATAAAATGGACGTTCAGCTCTAGGAGATCCATTATATATTCTCATTGGATCGATGCGATTTTTTTGTAAAGGTCGTTCGCAGAAGTATCGATTAATGAATCGATAACACAAATATAACTTTTTATTCAGAAAACATCTAAAAACCAAATACTTTACTCGAGAACAACCTCCCGCTACGAATCTGCGTTCTATTCCGCGATGCCACTACATGTCTCGCAAAAGGGTCATGTCTAACTAAAATCTAACAAAAACAATTACTAGCCGGCATATTAATAGTCATCCTCTTTAAGAGAACAGCACAAAAAGACTTTCGAACGTAAAGTAGGCTTTTTACATAACAAAGACGCCACGGCGACGAGTCCTTATTCTAGAATCCCGAGAATGCTCCGGTGGTGCAAAGTTGAAGGACGCACGTGGATTGTAACAAATCGCGGATTAAGTCACTTAAGCAACGTCATTTTTCAAGCGGCTGTCGAAGTCCGTCTCTCGTTGCGAACGGGGGCTGCGGCCAGGAATTCGCGTGCTCCTCTCTGCGAAACGGATTTCTCGGTATTCATCGGAGGTAAGCGGGGCCGGCCGCGAAGATCGGTCTCGAAACGGCGCTCTACGCACGTACGCGTCGGTATGCAGTACTCCGGAGCTGCTGGAAAACCGTTGGACAGCTCTCCGCATCCGCGTCCGCGACGCGACGCACGGCGTTTTTCCGGGAAGCCGAGCGGAATCTCTATTCTACGACCGTGATCGGCGCTATCAAGACCGAAGGCGGACCTGCAATCAAGATTATACACGCACACACGCCGCCGATCCAAGATACCGTCGCACCGGGTGTCACTGTACGTACTGGTTTTGAGAGACGCGTCACAGTTCGATTTTTCGTATTTACCGGTTTCCGCGAGAGAAAAAGACTTCAAAAAGTGTTCTCGCTTTAAATCTCCCCGTTCCCTTTTTAGTTTTATCCAATAAACGATTCTCCTACAGAGAAAATTAATCGATCATTTTAATCTGATAAAACTCGAAACTCTTAACGCCATTGGCTAACGAAGATGGCGTGAAGTCTTAAAATTCATACAATTAATTATTACTGATATGAGATCAGATAACACATCGCAAATAATTATCATGTTTAATCTCTAGGATTTCATTGGCTTTCTACCTGCAGCTAACTAAGCTAAGCTGCAGATAATTGAGTCTTTAATCTCAAGTTAAAGTGTCGCACATAAACAACGAAAATTCACGCGTATCATAAAAAAAAACTCGCAGTATTAAACGCCAGTCATCGGTTGTCCGCTCGTTGATTCATGCGTTCATTCGTGCTCGTACGCGATTTAAATTTTAAATATTCAGCGGATATTTCTCTCGAGTTACATCGCGCGATCTTATGACGAAGTGCCGTTGTCACGCCGAACAAGACGAACAGTGTGGTCCATTGGTGGATTAAAATAAATATTGAGAAATTCCCACGTGACTGTTTCTTCATAGATCCGTTTCGTGGGAATTGGGACTCCATCAAAAATTCTATATTTAAAAAAAATAGAAAACCAAAAGAAAACAACATATTTGCCTATCACTTCACGAATTGTCAAAGAGACAGCTTTCTCCGCTTTGGAAACGTGACAGTATTTAGTAGATATTTGTAATAATTAAACCATGACGAATCTCTTCCGTTTCAAGTTAATTTCCTCAGTAACGATCGTGTTTGTCATTAATAAGTGATGATGCCGTCTGTTTACTAAGTGGGCAAGATTCTTTTATCGGGAACGTTAAGAAAAAAGTTCCGTTAGCCATGGCGTAACCGAAACGGCGCTGCATCGAGATAATCGATATGGGATCGAGCGCGATCTCATCGAGAGGCGATCGTCTCCCGGCTCTTAATGGCGACCGCGGCGCTAATGACAAATGGTCGATTGATATCGCGGCGCAAAAACGCTACGAATATTCTAATCACGTCTCGTTACGATGACTTGGCGCTTTTTCATCGTCTCCCATTCTCGAGAAGGCCTCGATTACCATTCGTTCCGAGACAAGCCTCGTATAGTCCACACCTGTTAGTCCTGCACGTCGATACCTGTTCTTTTGGAATTGGTAAAATAACAAGATTATATGTAAACGATTGCTTATACCGATGTTTTATCGCTCTCACGATTAATATCGTGATAATGTTGATATGTGTAAACGTTTTGTAGTGATACTTAAGATTAATTTTCAGGCTTTTTTTATTTTTGACGTTACTCGTATTAACCTATTTGTTTTTAGTTTCATACGGATCATATTATATAATAATAACGAGATCGATAAGAAACATTTTATTTTGTTACATGTAACTTTGTATTTTGTCATGAAATGATATTCAATGTATAATAAATCCTAAGTTTTTGCTGTTGCTATTCGTCATTTATAATCGACACATTAAGTTTTGTAATATTTCTTATTAGTTTATTAAATTTAAATATAACATTTCTTGTTAGTTTATTAAATTTTGCGCTTATGATAGCAAAAATATGCAATTACTTTTAAAATGTTCGATTGATTGTTATTGTCGATAATGTTATTTGCGATAAGCGATATTAAATGCGACTTTATCAAATTTTATATCGGAATATTGTCATTAACTATGTTGTAATTTACAACTATCTATAAATAATGTCATATATTATTACGAAGTCAAAGTTTATTAGCACCTGTGAGCTTAAACCTCGCCCACATAAATGTCGCCACGATATATCAATTACTGTCATTAGCGATCAAGCGTTGTTAACAACAACGCTGGGTCAACAAAATGCCATCTAATTCAGTGGCGCTCAAATTTCAAAGTATAATAACATATAATCGGAAGTTATTTTTCGTGAAAATTAATTTACGTTTGATCGAAATTATATATCTTGCAAAACTTAAGATCAATCCAGATACTTTCGTAATATGGATTAGATCTCGATAAAAACAAGTATAACATATCTTATGCAGATATATATCAAAAATAATAAGGTGTAATTTAATTCATTAAATAATTTATTCATAATTTATTCATTTAAATAATTTATTGAAATGATAATGAAACAATGAACATATGCAGCAATTTAATTTAAGCATTAGATCACGACACATCTGCTTCAGTATCATTTAAGTATGTTTAAGTATGTACCGAGTTAAAAAAACTTATTTATGCTCGCGCAGATAACGCGAGCATCTTCGAATAATCATATTGTCGTCGTTCGATTGTTTCAGGACGAGGTGGGTGGTAGTACGGTGGTAGCCGAGGGTGTCGTAGGTGGCATAAGGGGCCCAGGCGGCGGGTGCCGCGCATCCTCGATGACGATGGCCGAGAGCGCCGTGGAGGACGCTGCAGCCGCGCCCCCGGGCCCGGCCAAGCCGCCACCGCCCTCCTGTACAAACAATAACACCCTTGCAGCGACAGCCAATCGCAACCACCGGAATCCCCGTAAGAAACGAAGACGGCTGGAGCAGGTAGTGGATACGTTGCAGGCCCACCGCAGTTCGCCATCCGAAGGTGAGGTATTGAAGTTCGAGGGTAGCGGTCCCGCGTCCGAAGAGGAGGATGTCTTCGGCTCGCCCAGGTCGTCGTCCTCGCGATCCGCCGCGATGGACACGACAGCGGTGATTGGCCAGCTGCCGTTGAGGTTGAAGGATACGGAAGCGGTGACGTCAACCGAGGAAGAGCTCAATGAGATCAGTCAGCAGCATCACCATCATCCCCACCGACCGTACCGCTATTCATATCACCACCACCACCATCGACACCGTTATTCGCCCTATCATCAGAATAACCACCGGTTGTCGGCGCCCAAGTACTCCGACTGTATGTGCAGTGAATGCACGCAGTCGCTAGCTGCGTCGGCGGCTATGATGCTGCCATCAGCAACCTCCTTGCAGACGCCGCTATCGCGGACCAGCTTTACGTATAGCAGTATATGCGGCACGTATAGCATATTTGAACAGTACATGCACACTAAGTACCTGTCGTCGTCGTCGTCAGGCGATACCTTCCGCGGACGCAGTCACTCTGATTCGGATGTTGCGCCCAGGTGGGACGAAATGCGGGTACCTGCCGCGACTACTTCGTTTTCCTCCGTCGTCAGCCATCCACCGCGAAGTAGCTCTCTCGAGAGCGACGGTACGAGTCCTCAAGAATCACCATTAGATCTCTCTATGAAAAATCTGATGCTGCAGTCTGCCGCTGCTTCAGCGGTCTCCACCAGGTCACCGTCTCTCCAGCTGATACCGTCTGGCATTGTGCGGGGTTCCGTCAGTGTACCCGTAGTCAGAGGTGACGTCGCATCACCCACGACGAAAAAGAGCGTCGCGGTACGGTATAATCTGGAGGTTCTACCCGTCGTTGAGGAAATGGCTCCGGGCGCGGATGTCGCCTACGTCTGTCCGGAGTGCGGACAGATGTTCAGTCTGCACGATCGTCTGGCGAAGCACATGGCATCCAGACATCGTCGACAGGGTCTCCATGATGCCTCAGCGAAGGCGTATCTTTGTGACGTGTGTCAAAGGAGTTTTGCGAGGTCGGACATGTTGACCAGGCACATGAGACTGCATACCGGCGTCAAACCGTACACATGCCGGGTTTGTCGGCAGGTGTTCAGTAGATCTGATCATCTTAGCACCCACCAACGAACCCACACCGGCGAGAAGCCGTACAAGTGCCCGCAATGCGCCTATGCTGCCTGTCGTAGGGATATGATCACCAGGCATTTGAAGACCCACAATCGGTGCGCGGACGGTCCCATTCCCAAGACCGAACCTGGCGAGGAGTGTCCCACTTTTGATCAAAACGTGGCAACAACACCGTCGGCGGTTATTAAGGCTGAATGACAACGACCGGTTGGATGACCTTGGCTGCACTCTAGCTCCAGGTCCCAGCGAGGACACCGCGGCAGACTTGACCGAGGGTCTCCAGGAATTTTTGCGGGCCGATCAAGACTCCGCGGAAATATGAGAGAGCGAAACCGTCGCTTGACAAGCTCCATGACATCAGACGGGCGTTAGGAAGAGATCGATACTTGAAGGGATCGCGATCTTGGTGGAACGAAAGATTCGAGCGAGAGAAAAGATTCATTTTGCTGTCGTAATTCGATTTCGTGAGAATCCCGACGAGACTTTGGTGACGATGAGAGTCTGTGATCAAATTTTGGGACGACTTTTGGAAGAGATTGCAGCTAGATGCATTAATTTTACTCTTTCGCTATATATTAAAATCTTTTTCTTGCATGAGATGAGTTCATATAATAAATATTTAAAACATTTGTTAATACGATTTGTGCAAATTCAATAATTATTGTTTTCCTTTTCTTTTTTCATTTTGTTTATAAATCGATAAATGTATTAATAATATACGCGCATTAAATGTATTAATAATAATATATTATATATATATATCACAAAGTGATTTTTTGCTTCAAGATTGTTACAACGTTTTGCAATTCTTTACTATATCTGCAGATTTTAAAATCTCTTCCTATACTTTCTAAAGCGAAAGAGTTAAATTTGCATGTCGGAAGCATCATGGAGAGCTAAACGATAACAATGAGCTTCGCTCCCGTGAGTATTATATTGTATTATTTATAAAAAAATAAATGATCTTTTCGTTTAACAAATTTTTGCGGATTGCGTAAAAAATTATCATCCCTTCATGCGATCGCGCGCGTTAACAGCGAATAATGCCGATCAGTATTATATTTTTTTGACCTCTACTTTAATTATCTGATTCCGATTTCCACGATTCGCGTTTCAGTTTTTATCTTTCTAACGTTTTATCGCGGTATTTGATATCGTGATATCATGATAGTTTTTCGGCCGAGAAACAACCCGAGAACAATCTATCTGTATACATATCAAGGGAATCTATTTTAAATAAATTACTTATTTATCAGCATTTATTTCTCATGTTCTTTACAATTGATATATTTTTATACATATCCTGGTAACGCTCTCAAAATTAGAAATTTTTTTAAACTTGATTTTATTTTTTATGTTCTAAGATTTTGTTTTTGATTGTCTCGATTGTTGTTCTCGAAGATTTTTTGACTGTCATGGAAAGGACATAGCACTTAATCGACTGCTCTCTTTGTACATCTTCCGCTCTCTCGTTCTCGTTAAAAATTAAGACACACACAAAATAAAGCATTCCTGCTCGGCCGCACTAGTGCAGCACGGTGCACGGAGATATATGAAAGCGGTGCTTAAAGGCTCGGCGTCAGAGTCGAATTGTATTTTTATCGTGCTCATAAAATGATCACGTGTCCACTAATCCTGTATGTACATAATCGATCATACCGCGTATCATTTCTTCAATGCAAAAGACTTTCTTAAATCTTTAACATTAACTGTGAAAAGAAAATCTGGAACGTAGCCCGTTTGCGACGCAACATACGTGCCAAATTTTAGACGAATATTTCAGACACACGATTAACACACACATCAACCACGATAAACTGCACATTGAGATCTAGTGAGATCAGTAATTTTGATATATTTCTTCTATCTCTCTTATTTTTCACATAAATTCTTTCAAGTCAAAAGATATGTGGAAACAAACTATTGTTCACAATAAAAAATTATATTAAATTATTCGTGCGGAAAATATAGCAAGAAATATAGAAAAAAGATTTATTAGACCTCAATGAGCAGTTTTGAAGTTACACTGTTTAGAATATATCTGTCGGTCGAGCTCAATTTTCGGGACTGAGAAAAATTATTGTGTAACGAAAGAATCAATAATCAATTTTATAATTTTAAAAGAAAATGAGATATCAATCGGAAACGAATTAATTGACAAAATAATTTCTACGATTTTATTTACTTGCCACCAATATTTTTCTCACGTGTCCATAGCTGTAAATAGCGAGTCGCCATTGGTAACCTCGTCGGTTCGCCCAAAACTTGCTCAAGTTGTTGTTACTTGGAAATTTGTTAAATCGACTTCTTAGAGAAATCGAAAGAAGCAAAGCAGTGATGTATTAATAGTTATAAATATAATCGCGATCGTTTTGCGATGGACATTTTGTTAGTGCGGCTTTGAGAAGTCGCGTGATCGCAAAAATAAGAATAATCTGAAAAAGAAATAAAACGTATTCGTACCTGCAGAAAGAGAGAGAAAAAACGACGTTAAAGCATAATAAAGCATAATATAGGAGTAACGTTAATTAGTGAGTAATATTATTGACACTATATTATTGCGTTTTATTATTGTAACTATTACGATTATAATTATTCGCGCCGCCGATAGGGAGATAAAATATTTTTTTATACGATACACTGGAAGTGTGTGTGTGTGTGTGTGTGTGTGTGTGAGACTTCGCGAAAAACCTCAAATATATAAACGCCAAGTTTAGTTTAAAAATTGTTCTCGCCTCGGAATCAATGTTAATTAAGCGAGAGACGATAAAACGTTGGCGTCAGTTCGTTATCGAGAAACGTACGCTCAAATTGATACGATCAGCATGGTCTTTTCGAATTTTTTTAATGTTTTCCTGTAAAAGCTAAGTGTACGCGATCAGTGGTCGTTGCGGCGCGATTAATCGAAACTGGTTGTGGTGCTTAAGCGAAGAAGGGCGAATCCGACAGGTATCTTTGCGCTGTGAATCGACGAAGACAATCTAAAAATATACTCAACCCATGATCTCCGTATGGATAAGTTTGTGAACCAGACCGAGTGAATGGCGAATGAACACGCTAATGTGTCGCTCTAATAAAATTACAGAATATAGAAAATGCACATTATAGTTGTGTTAATGGCATAACTTACCAACGTCCCCCTCACACTTCTTATTGCAAAAATAAGGAAAGGTAAGGACAAGGTAAAAATGGCAGATACACGTCGAAGCATTGAATATATAAGGATGAATCGCATGCATAATATTATGAAATGCACCAATTAAGATGCATTAAAATACATTTTGTTTTTTCTTTTTTTTTGTATTAATAAAAGCAATAGAAAATTCTTCTTTCTTTCTCGAACAATGAGCGAGATTAGCTGGTTTACTCGTTTGTTTGTGCCCGATAACGCATCGCATTGTCCATTCACTCGGTCCCACGAACAAGTTCGTCTCTCATTTCGGAAACGTCAATTCCACATAGGTTTATGGTAGTTGTATGGTGACTCGCTGAGCAGTACGCGCCGACATAATACTCGAGCTTACTCAGCCTCGATCGTTTCGTCCTTAATTCTTACCCTATACATACGTATATTTATGTACTTCCCCGATGTGTCTCCTATTCTCTTTGTCGGAAAGAAAAAAAAAAGATAAAAGTATCAGCGCGCGCTGATACACGCGTGACAATGCGCAATGCGCGATACGCGCATAGGTATATCTCTGTATTTTTGTATATCGAGGTTTTTCTAATTACCTATCTACCGATTAAGCGTTTTCAGAGGACGAGTAAGTAGCTATTAAGGAGAAAGTATTGTCGCTCTCTGCTTGCCATTTTACTTGCCCCCTTGATCGAACGATTGCTTGGAAAGCGGTGTTTATCATATGTCATACGGTGCGACGCGCGAGGGAAGATCGTCGAATCGGAGGACACTTGTTTCATTCATTAATTGATGATAGTCGAAGTGCACATCGCGCGATAACGCGACGGCTAAAACGAAAAAGCATTCTAAAATCAAATCAAACGTACTTTTCCTAATCGCTAATGCTTAGCTACAAGGTGAGCTGTAAACTGATTAATTGTAATTGTAATACGCGCATGATTAATATATCTCATGTATCAAATTATTTAAATAATTATTATTAATATTCTAAATCGGAGATTGTTTATTATAAATTGATCCGTATATGTTTGTCTCATAAATTAAAATTGAAATGTGTTTTTACATTATAATACGGTACTTTATTATTGATACATTAATTTTGATAATATTCATTATTTCTTCTAAAAATTTGTTCTAAAAATTTTTATATGTTAATTTTACAACGAAAAATGACAAAATTGTTACTTACAGTTGTACTCATAGATTAACAAATAAATTTACGCATGTGAAACTAAATTGCTCAATATACTTCAAGATTATAAACGGAAAAATGTACTTGTGATGTACGATTAATTTTGAAGTATCCACAGTTTTTCGATTCGTCGTAAAACTTTTTTTTTTATTTCGTCTTCTTTTGACATGATTATTGAAACGAGAGCAGATTGGCACCTCTTATTTGACGTTATCCCTCGCACCTATTCAGCCTTAAACTGACAGAATCTCTTGCGTAATAAATCTATAGTAATTTAAGTAAGGAAAGACATGAGAAAGGAACAAACACGTTCGACGCGTCTTCGGGCAGTTAAGCGATCGCCGTGCCAGACTTGTTCTTGTAATTATTAACAAGTATAGCCATTCGTATGATTATTATTATTATTTCTATTATTAATTATTATTAATTATTATTAATATTATTATTATTATCTTTAGTTACGTTGTTAAGTAATTAATCATGTTTAATGCTTCTATTATTTATTTTGTTATCCCGTTCATGAGTCAAGCTTTCTCTTCTCTTCTCTTCTCTATTCTTTTCTCACTATATTCCTTCTTCTCTTTACTCCTATCCTATTAATTTTCCGTTTTACTTATCTCTGTTTTATTCATTTATCCTTTACCGTCACTCCGTCACCAAATCGGAAAAAGGGAGAAAGGGTTTAAGTTATATATGAAAAAAGTTCACTGTCCCGTTCAATGATTTTGCAATGAATTTGTCGCGTTTTCAACTTAGACAAGACTAAAACACATCTCGAATCTCAAGCTTACCTCCCTTTTCTCTGGATTTAAATGGCACAAAAAAGGCTTGTCTCCGAAGAGATTTTGATCTCCAACTCCCAAATAAAAGCATATCTTTTGTAACGATGAAACACTGACGAGAATTTGTGTAAATTATTGATGATGATTGTGTACGTTAATTTATAAATTATGTTGTGTTTACGATTCGTGCCAGAATGGAAAAAAATATAATTTTTCAACGAATTATCTTTGTTCTACTCTTTATTATTTTTACCCGTATGTTTCCCATTTTGTTACTTTACCCATTTATTTATTTTTTTTTCTTTTCTTTAAAAATATATGACAAATATTTTAATATAAACTATTAAATAACAAATAAACAAGCTATGTGATATTTATATTAATTGAAAGATATTTTTATAACTTGTAATATAATCTGATTTTAATTCGGATTAGAGAAAATTAAAGACTTGCAATAGATTTAATTTGCTTTGGATTATAATTTAAAGCTATTAAACTATACATAAT